ATCTCTCTGTGTGTGCCGTACCCGCCAGCAGAAACACCCACCTACCCAACTGACAGACGGAATCTCACTATACATCAGCCATTCTCATCCTCCCCTCTCTCATGACAAGGCACACATTAGTCCTATCATGAAAAAGGGTTAATTGTGCGTCCTGAGTAACGCGCAGTAACGGGGTGTCTGCAATGGTAACTGCGTTATAGTTACAGTCAAACTAATTAGTAAGATTACTCGTTACTAAAACAAGGTAACGGCGTCAAGTAAAGGTAGGAGCTAGGGAAAAGGAGACCAACACAATAGGGCAAATAAATAAATAAATACCTTAGAACTCATATATATCCAGAAAGAACAACAAAATAGGAATAAAACTAGAAAACATGGAGCAAAGTAAAACTTAGAGTTTCTCTAAAGCATAAGCAACATCACTCAAGCAACATCATAAAACTGTATCTTTACCCAAACATGATATTTAGATAAAAAAAAGTCTCCCACTGAAAGGCGTGTAACATGCAGGATGCTTGAGGCCTGCGTTTGGTCCTAGTTGTTATTGACAGCGGCACACCTGCTCTACAGCAACACAAACATCGCGAGCAGAGCAACGCCTGTGATGATTATTTTGGATCTATCTTCATCAGGGTTTCAGTGTGGCTGCTTCCTTCTCCCACATGCGCTGCTTCTCAGGACGACGCAGGAGGTGTACGAGTGAAAATAAAAATGAAAAACTTTTTTTGTCTACTGAACTACTGAAAAATTCCCTTTTGCCCTATTTGGACACATTTTCATTTTTTTTATAATAATCTTTCTCCGCATTTCTGTTTTATACAATACCATGTAGGTCATGTAAGGGACAAACAACTATTGACAAAACATTATACAAAACTAGTTTTTGATAGATTTTTCAGGAAATGTCTGTCGTTGTAATTGCTTTCACTGAACTTTTAAAATGGTGCTCTGATGAATACCCTTATGGTCTGCAGCCAAGTAAATCCATACACAACAATCTGTGACACACAGTTTTCTGGAGCAAATGAGGGCAGGCTCCGTCTGCTTCCAAATATACATTGCAGAAATTTTTTAATAAGAGGCACTCACCAGCTGTGTCTGGTTGGCAGAGGTTTCTTCAAGGCTCAACACTTGTTGTAATTTGTGCTTTCCTCAGTGCTATCCCTCTTTGCCTGATCAAATTCTCTCTGTAGATGCAGAGAAAGATCTAAAACATGCAGGGTAGAATCTCTTGCGAAGCAGTGTTGAAAAAGACTGTTGTTGCAATTGTTTCATTTGGAGAAAAGGAAGAAATTCTGGAGTACTTTAAAACGTCTTCAGTCAGGCCTCAGGAGGGAGACGACAGGATGCCTTGGCCCATGAATATTTGACATTAGCCATACTGGACCAAGTGGGAAGAATAATTAAAGTAATGAGAAAGAAGCAGTTTAAACAAAGCTAACTGCCTACTTTTTCCCAGCTGCAAATCTTTTGGTTCTCAGCAATCACCCACCGGTCCACTTCAGACATCCCAAAGCACAGCACCCCTCGCCCAACTTGCCTCTCTCAATACTTCAGGTGAAGAGTGAGCCACGGAGAATTTAAGGCTGTGGGTCCAAACGGCATCAGCGCCTGAGGCACATCTTTAACAGCCGTGAAGCTGGGGAAATTACCCAGCTGTAGAAGGCTTCTTGTGTGGTACGAGGGCCTATGTTTAGACTCACAAAATATGTCAGGAGCTACAGGCAGGTAGCACTGACATTAAATGATGCAGACCTTCGAGAGATCGGTCCCCAGTTGCTGAGGTCTTCATTGGATCTATTCGAGTTTGCCAAGGATGAATTATATCCTCATCTTCCAACTCCAGAAAGCTCCCACCAACCTGGAGAAGCCTGGAAACACATCATGTTTCTTTTCTTTTTATTTCTTTATTGCTTCCAGTACCGTCCAGGTAGAGCTTGTGAGGTAAATGCTGGAGTGGTTAGGAGTAGGTCTAGAAAATGGACTGTATTTTTAATATTTTTGCAATGTTAAATTGTTTAACTTCCAAATTTCCCAGGCAGTCAATGTTTAGTCTTTTTTAATCTTACAACTTTCTAACTCTTTAGGTGGCAGTGATACGTTTAATTTTGGTTGCAACCAGAAAGTAAGAAACACTTTTTTTTTTTTTGCAACAGTATAGTGGCATTAGAATAGATCCTGGACAAGAGGGTATTTAAGGCCTTATAAACATGAAAAATTACAAAAAAATTGGACAATGTCTCTGAAGCCCCTTCAGATCGAACCAAAATAGCAACAATATTTATGCCAAGTTGGTGTCAAATCAATACTGCCCTGGTTATATAAATACTTTGGATTAAGATTTACTCTTGTAGCCACTGCTGCTGTTTCAACAAAAATGCAACAGCTAAAGGGCTGGCTATACTCTCCGCAGCAGTGTGTCGCAGTGAGCTTGATGCAGATATTTTTGATTAATGCTCAATTTTGAGCCTGGTCTGTGCTATACGCTGTGGGTCGAAATACACGGCCGAGGCAGTGAGGAAGTGGGTGCGAGTTTCTCTTACAACAGAATGACATGACGGAGGAAAAGAGCGGGGATCCAGGTCGAAAAAGGGTCCCAGCATTCTCACGCGCCTCGCTCTTCTAGCTTGTCGAACTTCACGAGTTGTTTTCCGCAATTGGAGTCATAAAAACAAAACAAGCCGGCCTCCTGTCTGCTGCACTGTCTGTGGTCACCTACAATTTGGGAGAGGTGCAGCAGAGAGTCTGTGGAGGGGGCGGGGATGTCCGTTTGCTCACTGCGACACCTACGCAGACAAACTAGTTTCAAAGTATAAATCAGCCTTAAGTGGTCAGACAAGCTACTTTTTCTCAGAGCAAAGGGAGATAAGACACACTCCCCCACTTGTGTTTTCATTTGTTCTGCATAATGGGGGTGAGGCCCAAAGTAAAGCTTATGGGAACTGTTCTAAGGATTTTTTAAATATTAAATATTGTGGTTTTGTAATTGGATTCATTTTCTTGTTTTGTAAAGTCCAGAAAATACCTGCAGTCGTCAGAAGAAATGTTACTTTATTTCGAAACACAAAATCAAGTTACAAAGCTTTCAATTTACTTTACTTGATTCTGTGTGAAACCTTTATAAGGAGTTAATAAAATGATCACCTAAAACTGTCTAAATTGCTATATTTTAAATAAATTATTATAAGGAAAACTTTTTAAGGTCACGAGTTTGATGATATATTAGAATTGAATATTAAAATTATCTGTATTGGTGTTAGTGATACTGGCCCTGCATGTATTTGTTATCCGATTGATACTAAAATAAGCAGCAACGGCCTGATAATAAAATAAGCACTAACAGACGCCTCTATTTTTTACAAGCTATTTGGACAGTTTTTACCAGCTTTATAAATGTTTTTGACATCAATCCTGTTTTAATGTTTTGCTTGTAAAAAGGGCGGCTGCTTTCCTTTCAATCTTTTACATTAACCAATTGAAATATGTGATTTCTTCAATATCTGTTCAGTGGTTTATTTTGCTGTTAAGTCTACATCTAAACTAAAGTCTACAGCAGGCGTCCTCAAATCCACTCATCGAGTTTTGGAGTCCTGCACATTTTAATCTCTTATTCTACTCCTGAATTAAATAGCTTATTAACTTACTCAGCATGTAGTCAAGTTCCACAGAGCTCTGTTAATGACCTGAATATTTGACTAAGGTGTGTGCTAATGCAAAGACAGATATAAAAGTTGCAGGGCCCTGGTCCTCAGGGAGCAGAATTAAGGAAGCCTGGTCTACAGTCTAAATAAGCTTTTCTATATAGACGTTTATATAGACAAGTAGATATTCAACTCTAGAAAATTTTTATATTTATGTATTATTTCCCTATTGCTTTGTCAGTGAAACTTAAAACCCATTATAGTGGATCAAATAATAAAGTATCTCTATTTCATTGTAACAATTCAGTTTATTAACACTGTGAACAAAATGCTAATTTGCTGCCTAACATGTCTAAAATATCATTGTCCAATGTTAATACAGCACTATGCTAAATGATTAAATGTTTACCAAAAAAGTGAGTTTAAATGTTAGTGTTGGTTGATATAGCTTATCATCTTTTGGTTAATATTGTAATTTTATTACTTTGTTTTAGCCTGAAAGGCATGGGGTGGTGATTTTAATGATAATACGCTGTCATTTGAAGACAGAAAAACGAAAACCTTGGAATTGTTATACCTTTAATTTTTCTGTTGGTAAATTGATTTTATTTTCAGCTGGTCAAACATAACTGTAAAAATTTGTGATATTGTAGGTGAATAAAAGGCATGGCCTGTATCATTCCCTGTGAATAAAGGTCACTGGTCTCTAATTACCTTTTAGGCCTCCTAATGAGATCTAAGGAACGTGTGAGCGTCAACGGTTAAATTAGAGATTCACAGACCTCTATCAGTGTCCCACTCCACCTTACATATATCCATGACAACTGAAAATAACCAGAAAGGATTACTACTTCTGCAATTATAACAGCGATAGCTGATAGAGCTTTAGATTTATTCTTCTTCCATTATAACTAGGACAAATATGTGTATTTATGACGGAAATGTGTAATGGTAAAGATAAATAATTAAAGACTACATAAAGACATTACATACATCAGAAATCAATTCAAGTGTTAATCATAAGATTCACATGGTGAAAAATAAAAAAGTTTGTGTTTTCTTGAAAACACATATGAAACACATTACTGTATCTGTTAGAATACTGTATTTAGCCTTCTTTTTATATTTTAGCTCTGTCATGAAGCAAATCTTACGACGGAGTATTAGGGCCACACATGAAGAGAAAAAATATTTTTGCCATGACGAGATTAAACTCGACATGTCGACTTTAAAGTCGACATGTCGACATTAAACTCAACATTTCGAGAATAAAGTTGAAATGTCATGTTGAGTTTAATCTCGACGTGTCGACTTTAAACTCGACATGTCGACTTTAAACTCGCCATTTCGAGAATAAAGTTGATATATCGTGGCGACTTTAATCTCGACGTGTCGACAATAAAGTTGAAATTAGTTCAAGAGAGCCAACCGCTGCACAGGATACATGCACAGAATCCAGAATCAGACATGCCTTGTGTAGATGATTTGGTCAAATTGTACTTTAGAATCGGGTTTAGCAATAAGGAAATCCTCTGTCTTTTAGCCCAGAACCACAGTGTGATTATTAGTGTAAGGACGCTGAAAAGGTTGTGCCGAAAACATCAACTTTTCAGAAGGAAAAATCATACAAACTTGGAAGAAGTGGCCGCATTCTTGCATACTGAAATTGCTGGAAATGGGCAGATGCAAGGATATCGATGGTTACATCTGCGTGCAATACAGAGAGGTTATGTTGTATCGCAAAATACAATAAGACAATTGATCAAGTTGCTTGATCCTGAAGGGGTGGAGTACAGGCGTGCGCGGCGCCTGAGACGCAGGCAATATCACAGCAAAGGTCCCAATGCGCTCTGGCATATGGATGGGTATGATAAGCTAAAGCCATACGGCATTGCCATCAGTGGTTGCATTGACGGTTTTAGTCGCTATATTGTGTGGATGGAGGCCTACATAACAAACAACGATCCAAAAGTAATTGCCGACTACTTCGTCTCATCCACAACTCGCTTGGGAGGATGTCCGGAGCGACTGCGCGCTGACAGAGGGACGGAAAATGGGCACATCGAAAACATGCTTATCTTCCTGCGCAGGAATCACACAGACTCTTTCGCAGGAGAACGAAGTTTCATCTATGGACGCAGCACTGCAAACCAGCGAATTGAATCCTGGTGGGGGGTCTTGAGGAGACAGAGTGTACAGTTCTGGATCAACCTTTTCCAAACTCTTCAACGTGATGGGCATTTCTCAGGGGATTTCTTGGATAAGAGTCTGATCCAATTCTGCTTTCTAAATCTAGTTCAGGTTAGTATATAAGCCTACACTCATTAGCTCAGTCCTTTTAATTGTGTGGAAATTCATGCCACAGGTGCAGGGCCGGATTTAGGAGGATGGGGGCCCCTGGGCTGGAGTCAGGATGGGGGCCCCTGGGCTAGAGTCAAAAAAAAAAAAAAAAAAAAAAAAAAAAAAAAAAAATATATATATATATATATATATATATATATATATATATATATATATATATATATATATATATATATATATATATATATTGTATGTGTTTGTTTTGTTTTAGAGGATGAGCAGAAAATGACCGAACAGTAAGTTTTGACAACTTACAACTTTAATAAGCCAGTTGTCACAAACTACAAACAACTCTGAACTCTTTTCTAGAAAGACTAAACCACATGTTGGGGTTGAAACTAGAATATGATGCTTGCATCACAAAATAAAATCACTGAATAGTGAACACAAACTATAAAACAGATTGAGTGCAAGAAAGTGCAATGCTCAAATATACTTTTACAAAGCAAAGCGAGTAAAACAATATTTATACAAATATCCCCAGCATTTACAAGTCCAAATAAGTACTACCTGTATATAAAACACACGCCCTAAACTCCGGTGCCCCTTATGTATGTGTTAAATACAGAAATGGCACACATAACTGAGACTACGCCTTTTAGGACGGTGCGCCTTATGGTCGTGAAAATACAGTAGTCATTGATTAAATTCTGAGACTATCCATTCACAAAAATATAAAACATCCTTCGGGGCCCCCGAAATGCCGGGGCCCTGGGCTGCAGCCCCGGTAAGCCCCTGCTAAAATCCGGCCCAGTGTAGTATGTTTGTTAGAGTCTTATTTTCATCTCTTGTCTTTTTGCTGCACATTTGTTTATTCTAATATTTTTTTTTTTATGCAGGCTGAACTTGATGAAGTCGTGCAAACCTGGAATTCACACAAGTTGACAGCAAGGGCAGGCCAGGGTGTGACTGGAGGTCGCCCTATTTTGATGTACACTCTACCACAGATGTATGGTGGTGAGGACCATCTCAAGACAATTGACATGGAAGAGCTGGACCTTTGTAAGGAGGAATGCACCCCCAAAAGTCAATACCCATGTGATGAGACTGTATTTGAGCTCTGCTGTCTTCTGATGCAAGAAAATGGATGGGATGCTCCAAGAGATGCATTTTCTGCTGCTGAACTGTACACTTCATTGAGAACTGAAATACTGTTTCATTTGTAAGGGTGGATAATTATTTCTGTACTATTGAGGGTTGTTGATGTTCGTTATATCACGATGAGAAATAGCATCCACCAGAGAACAGTTATAGTGTTACTTCTTTAATTAATGCATGCCATTTTAATTTTTAGAGCAAATTTAACAAAACGTAATCCCCTCAAGTAATATATTGTAAAATCAGTAACTGTCTAACTCTAACCGAACCTGCATGTGGGCCTATGGCTTGGAAACAAACCTGCTCACCAGACTTGTGGTAAAGAAAATAAGTTTGTGGTATTAGCTTGCAGCTGCTTAATGTTTGAGTGGATCTTACCCTTTGTTTGTTTTGACTGTGAAATGATTAACTTGCCAACCTACCATCCATTCAACACATTGGACAGGTCATAGTAGCTGCTGGAATAGGAAATAAAAGAACTAAATGTTTGTACTGAAAAAAAACGTTTCCTCCTAATATCCACACCACACCCTTTAACTTAAGGAACAGTTAAAAAGACAACCCACAGATGAAATTGAAGATTTAATATGAAATCATGAACATGACAACATTTGTAATATCTCCACCAATTAAGAAAAGTGCTTTATGCATACAATGCCTGAGGAGCATTTAAAAAAAATAAAATAAAAAACAGGTACAAAAATAGAAATTGCTATAAAATCACAAAAATAAAATCGTGTTTTTAGTTGGCTACCTCAAAATCCCTTTTTTTCAATACAGAACCTGCAGCTTATTCAAATACACCTCAAATGTAAATGTTCCATTGTTGTTAACCTGGAACATAGTTCCTACTTATCAAAACGTATCAATACACAAAGAGGTCATCATCAATGCAGCACCTTAAATGCAAATGTTAACCTGGAACATAGTTTATGAACACACCTTTGAGGAACTGGAGCTTATCAAAACTTTTCAATACACAAAGATGTCATCAATGCAGTTCAAATGTAAACAGTTCAATGCAGTTCAAAACGCACAATTATTGTTAACCTGTTGAGAAATATAGGCTGGTATAAAATCATAGCATCAAATATTTGGCTAATTTATTGGCTTGTTAGTTACTGCATGAAACAAGACTTGAAGACAAACTACCTTTAAATGGTTTTCAAAGTGGAAGAACAATAACACTGCTATTTTGTGTCAGTCAAGTATGACAGTGGTCCTACACATTTTGGAAACAGCATGGCCACAATCATGTCTGAGGTGCCACATATTGGGCTACACTATGTCCATCACCCAGACATTGCTCTTAAGGACGTCATTGAATTCAGCACGAAAGACTGGGAAACTTTCATAGGAGTCACATAGCTCTAGCAACATTCCACATGTCCGAGCAATTGGCCGTCTTGTGAAATCAGACATTCCTGTGAACTCAACAGTGAGACTGTCAGACACAATCAAATTGGACCCTGTGCAGAATCTCAGAAACTTAGAGAGTTCTTCTTCATCCAGTTCCCTGATATACCTTCGCAGATGATGTTCCACCTCTTTTTGGTTTGGGGTCATATGTTCTGGGAACTTCAACAGCTTCAACACCTTCTTAGTTGTTGCTTTAAGGTCGGGATACATCTTTGTTAGCTTCGCATAATTGAGAGTGATGTTTGGTGTTGTGATTTCCCTCCAACAATCAATAACAAACATTGGCTTTTGCACAAGTTCTTTGTGGGCAATTTCTGTCAGAATAGTTGGAAGATTGTCTACTGAGATTCTTCTTCTGCATTCGTAGTTGTTGAGAGTCTCTACAAGGTCATCCATGTCAACTGAGGAGAAATCTTGTAACGCTTGCTGGAGGATCTCTCGGTCTTGACCGCTTACATATTGCAGAAAGCTTTGGGTCAGGTCACTGTACACAGCTCCAAATAACATCTCCTCCACAAAAACAGATGCCAGCTTGATAGGAAGGTAGTGGCAATCTTGGTATCCTCTCACAAAAATTCTGCCAATGGCTTTCCAGGTTTCAGCCTTGAAATCGTGTCTGATAAAAGGTACTTTAATTGCTGTTCCAAGTGTGCAACGATCATAGAAGTCTAGCCAAAAATCGCTGAGGACATCTCTAAGAACTCCTGACCCAACGCCAGCTTCCTCTTTTTTATCTGGGAGTATTCGCTTCACTTCCAGTGGTCTGGTCAGAGTGTCTGGGTCAGAAAATGCTTCGATCATGTCATTGAAGGAATTTGAATAGTGGATAGTTATAATTTTTGTTTGAGTTGTGTGGTCAGGTGTTTCAGGCTCGTAAATCAGTGTGTCATTAAAATCAAATTCAGCACCTGGTTGAGGGCCAAATGTAATTTCAGGGTCAGAGATATACGGGTTATCTGCTACTATGACATAGTTTTGCAGAACAACTACATCCTCCTGTAATACTTCTTGTAGAAGAGAACTGCTCTCTGACACCACTGGGAAGTCGTTGACTGTGTGATTTGTAGCAGTTGAACCATCTGTGATAACTGGGTGAGGAAGAGTGACCTGGTCCTGGTCTTGGTCTTCAGCTGAGTAAGTGGACACCAGAGACAGGGATTGGCTGTCTGACACTTCACTAATTTCCTCTTGGCCCTGAAGGATAGGATTATCACATTTGTCTTCTGAATCATAGGTAGAGGCATCTTCATCTAAGTGTGGCTTAGGCTGAGTGGCAATATAGAAACGCAGCTTGGCTAGTTTGACAGTGTCATATATTGCACCAATTGAGACATGATCAGTGAAAGTGTTTTGTTTAAAGTCCCACACATCAAATGTGAAGTCTGATTCATGGCCTTTACTTGAAATGCCATTAGGGAAAAAGAGATTTTTCCCCTCTTTCAGGATTTCATCATATCCACCACTCGTGTCCATCACAACCTTTCTGGTTCCCCCTCCTTGTTTTGCTCTAACCTGTTTAGCCTCACTATCCTCTTTGTGGATCCAACCTATCTCAACAGTCCGTTTAGTTGTCCTTTGTACCTTTGTTCTGGAGTTTTTAGGTACCTTCTCGTTGTCTTTGGTTTCCTTTTCACTATTGCTGGCTTCTTCTTCTGTTTCTTTGTTTTCTCTATTTAGCATCATTTTCTTCCTGAGCTTTTCAAATAGACCCATTTTTCGCTTTGAGACAGGGGCTTGATTCCTGCAAAAATTGAAAAGTGCAATTCTGTCTCCATATGAAGGAATGTATTTGGCCAAAGCTGAATCGTCCATAAGCGTGACAACATCTTTGTCAATCTGTGGAGCAGAGAACAACCATGATAAGGGTAAAATATCACAACACTTCAACATTTTCATCCATTTTCCCCAGAAATACAAAAATACACTGTAGGGGCCAAATGTCTATTTTATGTATAGTTTTGAATTCACTTGTATTATGTGAATTTGATATTTATTTTACATTTATGAGTGACATTAATAATTTAAGTTAAAACGTATGTATAAGGTTAAAATGTGAATTTACAACAATTAAAGGACGCCACCTAGTGGGCATTTAATGACGTTTTAATTTTGCGTGAGCTGTGCAGTAAGGGGCATTGTAAAATTGACACGGGAGGAGGAAGGTTGGTGCCTCACGGTTTTCTGACCGTGCCATGCTCGTGCTGTTACCATGTGGAGCCTTAGATTTAGATTTGTAAGAGTTTAGGAGCATATTTTCATTTTTGTTCGTTTTTGTTATCGCCTTTGTTCTAAAATAAAATACAAAAACGTGACGTAAGTGGAAGCAATTTTTTCCTTTTTTTTTTATCCTGGAACACGCGTCAGCCACAAAGCTCCAACCTATAACAGATTTAACTGAGACTTTTGAAAATACCCTACATACCATCGGCGTCACCAGACCCCATTTACTGGGGCACTTGCCCCAGTATAAATGAGCTGTGCCCCAGTATAAATCTCATGAATATTTGCAACAGTGGAACATTTTTTTAATGCATCAATTTAGATAATGGGAGGAGACGTATATTTCTACTCAAATGCGTACATCCAAATTGAGGATGTATTAGCGCCCCCACGTCAGCGCATGTCACTGCATGAACTGCAGGTAAATTAACGCGCTGCTCTCAGCTGAGTTGATGGGACACTGTGCGGCGGCGACGCATTTTTAGTTCTGGTAACGTTTCTTACCTGTCAATTTTATTATTTTCCCAGTGAAACCACATGATTTATAGGCTACTAACTGAAAATTACTGGATATCAGGAAATTCCTCACACGAAGCAGAGACAGGGAAGCAGTAAAACAAGATGAGAGAGAGGGATGTAAGGTCCCGTGATGAATTAGTGATTTAAGCTAACCAGTTACATTAGGAACGTTATTAGCAATATGATAGATATTTACATAATTATAAATTTACGTTTTTTAATGTTCGCTGTAGAGAATGAGAATGAAGGTGCTGGAGTAGGAAAGGGAGGAGGAGGCGAGACTGACAGGCAAGAGACAGGTGAAGGACAGGAGAGACAGGACCATGAAGGTGATGAGGGAGCAACAACCAGCTTCCACAAACAAGAAGGGGACATTAGTGACTTAGGGGGAAAGCATGATGGTCCTAAACAAGTGAAGTTGTCCCACCATCCCCAGGACAAATTTGGAGTAAAAAAAAAACGTTCATTTAATTCAAAATGGTTTGAAAGCTTTTTATCATTTTTATAAGCCTTGTCATCAAGGATATGCAGTGTGTTTTCAACTTGCTTGATAACATCATGTTCCCAAGACTAACACAGGTCATCCAGATCTCCCTCACAATCCCAGACTACAGCTGTAGTTGTGAAAGGTCATTCAGTGTGTTGAGAAGGCTCCACACTTGGCTGAGGTGCACAATGGGACAAGACAGGCTCCATCATCTTGCTATTTTATCAGTTGAAAAGGAAGAACTTTCTAAGCTGAGTCACAGTCTAGTGATTGACCGCTTTGCAAAAATGAAAAATAGGAGGTACACTTTAATGCTCAAAAAATAAAAGAAAAACTTAGTTCAGGTTGAGTTAAACTTTCCCCTGAACTAAAACTCTAGGAATTAATGATTACTTCAGAATGTGTATAAGGAAACTTTTTATTTTTAAAGTTGGTAATGTCTTATTTTTTATAGCTGCAATGTTGAAAACGTTCATGTTTGTTAAAACAAATATGCTCTTACACTCATTAATATCTCAACTGGTAATTTTGGTAGGAATTTATCAGGGTGGGGCAGTGTGCTTGTCTGTATTTGTGTATGGAAGGAGGGGCATATGTGGTATGGGGGCCAGTGCCCCAGTAAAGCTTTGTGCCTAGCAACGCCCCTGCTACATACACTATACCCGCGGTTCTCAAAGTGTGTGGCGCGACCCACTGGTGGGGAATTGAGACGTGACAGGTGGGGCGCGCCAAGTTCCGGTGTGTGTGTGTGTGTGTGTGTGTGTGACTATAAATGTAGAACGTGTGAGAGCAAACTGTCCTTATAGCTGTATGTTGCCGCTTTTTAGACCAATCAAACCCACAAAGTAATCATTACTA